GTACACCTGCACCATCATCTTCTAGGAGAGTGGGGGGACAGGGGGCAGGCAAGCATAGTGTATGTCCCCGGGCTCCCTGAGTGTCTGCAGGGGAACGTGGGTGCCCTGTTGCCTGCTGGGCCTGGAAGCTCTCAGGCCCACCCCTGGGGCCTGTCTATGCAGCAGCAGCGTCTGATCGACAGGAGGATGTCCACCTCTGGCCATCAACCTTAGAGATGGTTCCTTTAGGGAACAGCCAATCAGGTGCATTTACACAGAGGAAGGCCCCCTTGTCCCTTCCTCTTGTTTCCTGCCCTGGCCACAGTCCCTGAACTTGGCCAGAAGGAGCGCCTCCTCTCCTCAGGGGGCCTTGGACACGTGTGCAGCTGTGCACTGACACACAAACATAAGGGCCTTTCCACCAGAGGAGGGAGGGGTTCTCTTCCCAGTTCATAAAAAGGCACTATCATGGATTGGATTTTCCCCTGCTCCCCAAACTCCATGAGCGTTCAGCAGGACCATGAGCCCTTGGTGGGGGGATGGCAGTTATGGAATGATAGGCTCATCCCTCAGGACGTGATCTGATGTGACCAGCCAACAGTTGTCAGGGGATTAGGGGTCACTACCTGGAAGGGCTGTCTGGGCTTTCCTCTGTTATCGCCTGCCTGGTCCTCCGACTGTCAAGGAGGGTCTGACTTTGGCTGCTCAGCTCAGTCCCGTGTTGACGGGAAGTGTCAGGAAGAGGAAGGTCCGGGATGACTGGGTCTGTGGCAGTTATATAACGCGGTGTCGACTTGTGGAGGGGTGGGGTCTAGCCTGTCAATCGGGTCACTGCTTGATGACCTCATTTGGAGGCACGGCAGATATAAATAGCTCCCTGGAGACTGGACACACACCCACTCCCTGCAATACATTCCTGACCATGAGCCACATGGAGCTACACTGATGCAGCCAGAGCCCTGGAGCTGGAGGAGCCACGTGGAGACCCTGCCAGTGCTGAGATGCTTCCATTGCCACTGGATCCATAAGACTTTCTACCCACTGGGCTGTGATCTTCCTGCATTTGGCGTCATTGCATGT